TCTTACTTTCTCTTTAGTGGTTTCTCCCTACTCTACACGAGCTATTGTCTTCAAGCTTACTATCGTCTCCGACAGGTGATTTTCTATAATAAACATTCAAGCTACAAAGCATTCGTTTGTTTGTGTCTCGCTCAATGGGTCTTTTCATTTCTTCTTGTTTTACCGATGCTACTCACACAGTCATTCGTTTATATCCCAACAGAATTCTTCTGTCCAATTCCATTTACTAAACCTCTATCAGTAACATACATTGCAGTTAGCGTCTACGGAGTTTTTCTAACAATTTTTTGTACAATCTATCTGTGGATCTATATCTATGCTACTCGAACAACATTAATTAGTCTTCAACGTCGACGAACAATTGATCGTCAATTGACAATGTGCAAACGTATTGTATTCCCAACATTCTCACTTATGTTTCTCGGTATTGTCTACCTCTCACTCTTCTTTCAAACGATAGCAAATCAATATCAAACACACGCTTTAACCTATCGTCTCAGTTATCTTTTTATTGCTATTGGAATGAGTTTCATTCATCTGATAACAATTTTCCAGACACCGCCGATAAGAAATGTTGTAATGGTATTACTCTACAATTTAAGAGCACAAATGTGCAGGAGAGAAGAAAGTCTGAATAACGTGCCATACAATCCAAATACGACTACTCAACAGCAGCGAAGAAGAACAGAACAAATCGCAACTCTTCGATTACAAAGAAATAAAGTTGAGCCAATGGAAGGAAGAAACACTTTCAAACTGACACCAATCAATCGGAATGAGGAATAACGATTTTTCAGGCAGACAGTTACAGATTTTAATTCAATGAACTGTAGAGGCTACGGGGACTTTTTTTTGGATTTATTTCTTTTGCAGGATTTATTAGGATTTAATTGTTTAGTGAGAAATTGTTGATATTTATTAACTGTATCAGTATTTCGGCGCACCTATACTGTGGGTATGCATGTATACACTGAGTTATGTCAGTATTCCACCGTAGCTACACTGCGGGTATGTATGCATGTACTAAGGAACTGGGTGAGATTTATTTTAACATGCATAGGGATTTATTAACAAAATCCCAATAAATTTCAAAAAAGAATAAATCTCGGTAGCTGCTGATATAAACGACATGTATGATGAAGCAAGTGATTTATTTCCTATTTTGGCAATATCACATAGTCTATATGCAACTAGACATCAATCTTATCAGTGAAAGCTGCAAGGCTTGTTGCATGACATCTCCTGTTCAAATCTGATTATTTCACTGATATCCATTGGAGTAGGGTGTGTGTGTGCGTGTGGGTATGGGTGTGAGTGGGGTGTGAGTGGGGTGTGGATGGGTGGGTGTGGTAGCGAATAACGACAACATCCACACCCACTCTGCTGCTGTAGTGTAGTTCATTTAGATTTCTGTTGAGTATCGATATATGAATATCAGTTTGATTAGATGAATTCATGACAAAAATGATCACACAGACCCGCATACCATTGTGCAGAACCAGATTGGCGCTAATATCAACTTCCACACACCTCTCCACCCTTTTGAAACGTTGGATACTAGCTTGAGGGTGTGGGTGTGAGTGTGTGGTGGCTAGGGTGGAGGTGGGTGGTGTGGGTGTAGGTGTACGAGAATAGAAGATCCAGTCACATCCACAACCCACACCCACCCATAACTCTGTTGAAGTCTCAGTCTAGCGGCTTATTCCATTTTTTACATAGAATATGAAAATCCTTAGTTTTTTTTTATCCACATTCTAATGAATATCAATCAGGGAAAATAAACTAAATTAACTATATCATGACGATTTTTTTGCAATCTATTCAAAAAAAACTTATCATTCAATGTCGAAAGAAACTTCGAGAATTATCATAAGCTTCTTTATAACATAATGCAGCAATGTCTATAGATAAATGATGTGAATAGAATTCTTAGAAATTATTTAATATCTCAAAAAATTGGTATATTTACACGAAAATCTCTAACTAATTTTCAGACTTATCAGCTGAAAATATTAGAAAACTAAAATTAAAATTTTCTAAATTATTTTAATTTTTTTCAAAAATCTCCTCGGAAGCAGTATTAACATTGAAATTACTTTTTAGTCAATAATAAATTACTTCTTCATCCAGCGATTCTATGGTATAAAAAAACGAAACAAGTTTTATCATTTTTTCTTAGAAAAACAGGAACAATTTCAATTGTTACTATGACTACGTCATCTAAGAAGTTTCATACGTTCTTCGACATCTCCTTATAACATTACAATTTGAAATTGTTCACTAACATCTCTTCGTACTTCAGCTGAACAAAACAAAATAAAATAAAAGCAACATATTTTTCGAACCAATTTTCATCATTTTTCTTAATTTTTCAAAATTTCTCGTGACTAAACAAAGAAAAGCTAATTTTTCCCGGCAACGTTTATCATTGAAAGCTGAAGCACCTTCCAATGCAATTTAAATAATTCAAACTAATTCTAAAAGAAAAAAGTACGCAATAAATTTACATCAATATTTCCACTAAATTTATATTCTGTTGAATCAATATTTAATAATCTTGGTCGAATTTCTCTACCCAGACAAACAACACTATTTCCTTTCACTTTTGCTATATAAATAAGTAAATCAGGTGCACAAAGAATTCCATGATCAACATTAATAACTGCATATTTCATATGATTTGATGTTGTATAAATAAAGACATCATATAAACTAATATGAGCATTTTCACGAATTAATAAAAGACCTGTGCCAGCATAAAAAATTCATCACAATCTGCTAATGAAATTTTTTTTAATTTTTTATTAAAATCTTAAATAAAAATTAAAAAAAGAAATAAACAAATTTCCACTTACAACATGATTCTTATCAAAGATGGCATATTGATTTCGAGCAACCCATACACCATTTAAATCAAATGAAAGAAGAACTTCAGATGCTAGAAAAGAAAAATAAACATTCAAACTATTGAACAATTAAGATAAGATGTCTTTCTCTTTTTGAAATGCTAGACATTTTTGTTTTGAAAGTGAATCATTTTTTTTCATATTTAAAGATATCTGCTATTCATGGAAGAAATCGGCATTGTCATCAATTAAAATTCTTTTCATTTCGAATAAATCATACCATCCAGAATTTAGATTCAACTCGTTGAGTCACCAGCATTTTTCGAACGTGGATCACTAACATTTTTTTTTAAATAAAATAAAACAATTAATTTATTTTAAAAACTCTTAGAAAATTTACCTTCTTATTTACAGCAGAAGAACATTCCATGTCGCCTCTTTTTTACCAACTGCATCGCAGTTATGCGCACTGCGATCAATGCGTCGCAGTTGCGCGTAACTGCACGTAATTGCGGCGCATTGATCGCAGTGAAAATCTCTATCAGAAACTACGGTTACTGCGACGCAGACCAGCGTAACTGCGTCGCAGTAATCGCATCGTACAATCCGCTGTAACTAGCGCCAACCAATCAATCATAGATCACTCCTCCTTATTTGTAATTGACCCACTCCAGCAGTAAAACTTAGCCAGAGAAAGACAGTATAAAAGTCAGTGTCCATGACGCTTCGGCTCATAACTCATTCAACCACAAAAGGTAGAATATATAATTCACAAATAATTTTTCAATTGTTTTTATTTTTCTAATTTTTTTAATTTTTTAATTTTTTAATTTTTCTTAATTTTTCTAGATTTTAATTTTTTTTATTATTCTGTTTTTTGTAATTTGTCTATTTTTTTAATGTTGCAATTTTTTTTAATTCTCAATAAAGATATTAATAAAATGAAAATCTCATGTATGGCATCTCTTTTAGCAACTGTGATCGAACACATGGGATCTTTTGATGTGATGATTTCCAATCGTCAAAAATAGTTTTCTCTAACATAATAAACAAGATTTCCAACAACAATAACAACCGCATAAACTAATAGTTCACGTGCCAATCTAAATACTATTATTTCATTATAAAAAAAGAATTGAATGATGAACACATACTTGAAATTTGTATGTGTGTTCGACGTCTGCTTCGTGTGCTCACAACTGAACAAACAAGAGAGAGAAGAATAAAAAAAAAAGCATAGGTCAAGACGATAATTTTTTTTTCTTCTCTCGTCCGTAAGTTATCGTTCATGTTATCATTGATGATCAATGATAATATAACATAATGATTGTGTACGTCAATTAAGCATTATCCATACCTATACATTGAGATATTTGTGATTGAATTTATCTCAATGTATGTGTGTGCATTAATGATAGCTTAATTATTATCGTCTTTTGATCACTTTCTGACGAAAAAAAATAATCGATTTTTTGACATATTAATATGAATAATTTTCAAAATAAAAATCATTCAATTTATTGAATCAAATTCTAATCTTTTCTTTTATGTTTTAGATTGGTTTCGACGATACAAAAATTATACAATTCAATTCAAATCAAGACAATAAAATGATGTAGGTATCAGTTTTTCTTTTTTTTCTTCTTTTCACGATCATATGTAGGGTGGTAAGTCCTCCTATGATCTTTTTTATATATGTTCTTCAAATTTTAGCTGATGGACAATGAAGAATAACATAACAGGGGTAAGTTATCTTTTTTTTTCATCGTTTAATTTCTTTTTCTTTTCCTTTTAGACGTCATCATTCAACATCAACGGGTAAGTTGTTCTTTTCTTTGAGATGAGAATAGATGAGACTCAGCAGAGTGAATGTTAGAGAGAAAGGGGGGAGGGGGAATGAATTAGGTACGTTGAGATTAGGTTCGCGTTATAAGAAGGACTTCCGAATAGTCCCTAAAAGCTCGGCCAGAAACTGCTTTGGTGTCCGTGGCACACGATCGGGCCTCCAGACTCACTAACGCATGTCATCAGATGGGTGCGTGTGGATGGTGTGAGTCTTCCTGCGCGTGCGAGAATAGAATAGCGGTCAATTCATTTTTCATTAAATCACGATTTATTTGAAAGAGAAAAAGAGATCGAAACAAAAAAGTCCTCTTATTGAGTTTGTTCGATATTAAATTTTTGTACTCGATGATTATCGTAATCGACGACATAAAGATTGCCATGTCGATCGAATGATAAACCTGCTGGATAAGCGAGTTGATTCGACTGTGCTCCTTTACCGTTTCCACCAATAATGACACTTCCTTGTGTGGCTCCTTTTGGCCAACGCATGATTCGATGATTCCAAGAATCAGCCACATAGACAGTACCCAATTGATCGACAACGACTCCGTCAGGATATTCCAATTGTGTAAGACTATTTTCTAGTCGTTGACCACCGGCTACATCAATGCCTTGTGTTGCACCTTCTTTCCATTTCATTACACGATGATTATTAAGATCAGACACATAAACTGAATGATCTCGATCAACAAATACGTAGGAGGGGAAAGAGAGTTGATCGAGACGATTTTCGTTTCCATTGCCACCTGCAACCACAATTCCATCAGTATCACCAATTTTATATCGTCTCACTTCATGTTTATCATGGCCAACGACATAGAGAGAACCCTTGTTGTCCATTGTTAAACCTCTGCAAGAGATATTTGAAATAATTATTTCTCCACGAGTACCATTTCGACGAGGCCATCGAACAACTCTTCTATTCCCGTAATCACTGATGATGAGACTATCGCTCTCTTTGTCGATAATCACATCTTGTGGACGATTTAATTGATGAACTTCATTTCCTCGTCCATTCCCACCAGCAACCACTTTTCCATTCGTTGCACCAGATTTCCATTCCACAGTACGGTTATTTCCAGCATCAGCAATATAAACTGTAAGATCATTGTCGACGTACAAACCAAATGGGTAAAAGAGTTGATTAGTTCCACTGCCTTGTCCATTTCCTCCAGCAACAGTGATACCATTCTTGGACCATGTTGCGTTCGGATGAATATTAATGGAACTCGCACGTAGTGGTACTAAAAGGAAACAAAAGTATGAAATAGAAATAAGCATGGATCTTATTGAAAATGAGTTCTTCATTTTGCTAAGAAATTCATGAGATATTTGTATTTTGACTGATAGGATCAGAAAGAATGAATAAAACATATTCTAGAAGGAACTTGTAAAAATTATCGAAGTTTGAATGAAATTTTCTTTTGTATCCCATATGGAAAAAAAGACATTTCGTACCAATTTTTCATCGATTGTGACAGATAAAACCTTAAAATTTCACTGAAGTGTGGAATGAAAATGACTGGAAGATCGGCTACACTTTTCAGTTACATCAGGTCGGAAAATGGATTGACACGTGACGTTCTTTATTTGATTTTCACTTGGTTTAGTCGACATTGGTATATGGAAAGATTAGTTTTATTTGAGTATAAAAAATTCAAAAGCTATTTTAAACTGTCTGATATTAAGAGTCTTTCATCACATGATTTATTTTTGTTGAAAAATAATGGAGAAGGAGTTTTTCTCATAGATTTACGGCAAGGATACTTCAACTTTCGAAAGTTATTTGACGTTTTTCTCGGAAGGGTGTGGGTGTGGGTGTGGGTTTTTATTTTATTATTCTAGTTATATGAATCCGTTATTGTCTATTATAAGAAAGAAAGAATTAAAACAAAGTCATTACGATTTTCTAAAAAATTGCATTATAAAATCTCGATGCGTTTCATCCCAATCTTCCGACACTATATCACATATAGTAATGAGCATCCCGTTATCAAATTATCAGTCATACTTCTATGACAGGTCATGATATTCATTGAAAGTTACACTTGAAAACCGAGTTTGTTTTTTCGTAAGAATGTCGTTAGTGTGACGTAAATGGCATTAGATGGTCTACAATCATCATTGAATCGAGTTGCAGTATCTTAACATTCATTTCGTTATTTCGAATCAGAGTTTCTGATTGTTCTTAGAGAGTGAAAGATGGGCATTTCCCTTGCTACATAAAAAGAAACGACAATTGTGTTTTTGTGAAAATCTCGTTTGTTTGATATTTGTTCTCACAAAAGTCAAATCTCGATCGTTGTAAACAGTTATCTAACTCAATTTTGCACTGAGAATATAAAAAAAATGTTGCTGTTTTATAAAACGAATCGAGATTCTTTTTTTTTCTTACAGGTCAATGTGCTCGAATTTAGAAATGTGAATTTGAATTTTTCGTATATCGAAATCAGAATCTCAAATTCAATTCTCATCAAAATTTTAGATGTTTTATTTTAATAGAATAACTTTGGAAATCTAAAGAAAATTGAACATCAATATGTGTATACGATCTAAAAGGAATTGTTGATAAAAGATTCGATTTGTAATAAAGTTGGTTTTCACCAATCATGTTGACATTCTTTCACAGGGAAATTTTAAAAATTCATTAGCATCTGCGGAAATTTTTGAAGATTTAGTGACATCTGAGAAAAATTTTTGATATTTTCTCTCATAGGATATTTTCGAAATTAAGCTCGGTTTATTTATGCAAACATTCATAAGATCTTCTACTTGCCTATTTTCTTTTCTTCTCATTAAACTTCTGAAAGCACCATACGCGTCTTTATTGTAGTATCAGTATCGTCTACATTTGTTTACGTTCATCATGCATATTACTATCTCCTTGACCCTGTCTCTTTGTGCCTATTCATAATACAATACACATTAGTTGTTTTCTTTTTTTTTCTGTACTTTTTCTAATAGCATTTCATCACTTGCCGTTTTCCTCTGTTGGTACATACAGGTGCTATTGTGTGTGCCTATGGGTACACAACCACTATGATAACTAATTTATGGCCATTATGAGGGGTTGGAAGTTACCGTTACCCAGTAACGGGAGAAGTTACCCGTTACTTTTTCCGGGTAACTTCTCAAAAAGACGAATTATGACTTCCAATCGACCAAATACGGAGAATACATCAATTTTTCCGTTTGGGAGTTACCAAGTAACTCGTAACATTATAAGATGATGTTTTGACTATATTCGATCGATTGGAAGTCATAATTCGTCTTTTTGAGAAGTTACCCGGAAAAAGTAACGGATAACTTCTCCCGTTACTAGTTACCCGGTAACGTAACGGTAACTTCCCTCCCTAGCCATTATTAGCTGAATTGAAGCATTTTTCGTTGATTCGAGTTCAGTTCAGTTCGGATTTACTTTTGAAAAATCAATTCGCGTTTCGCTAAATTCGTCTTCATTTTTGAAAAAGTGGCTCGGTTTTTATATCCTAGTCCTCCCTATCAAGAATAGACGATAGAGAGAAACTTGATTCCAGGAAAATAAGAGTGCGATTTATAGTTCATATCAATGTAAGTAACTGCCAACTAATACAGTTGTGGATTAAAACAAACTTTTTAGTCTCAGCACTTAACCATCAGAAGCCTTTTTAGTGTTAATATTAATCTCAAAGCACTACAGGCGATTGTTTATTGTAATGCAGAAAAAACGGAAAAATTTAAAAGTGAAAAGGATAAAAGCATTATTCCGCACAGAAATACCCCAACATCATAAACACACGATTATTGAAAATGTTATGAAAAGAAACAGGCCTGTGTTATACAATTATTAAATTACGCATGTAAAGCAATCGATCAAGGCTCTTTTCAAATTGGTCAACTGCATTATATTTTTATAAAATTGTTTATAGTTCAATCATTTAGTATTAATTGAAGGCTTCACTGTATCCGACTATTTTTCCAAAATTAGTTCGGGTACGATTTGGATCAATTTCAACTTTTATAAAAGTAATTTGAATAGTAGACAAGTACTCAACCAAACAACAAATATTATGTTTTTATTGTGAATAGGCCGGGCGAAAAGATAAAGCAAAAAACAAGCATTAGAAAAAAGCTATCCTGCAGAAAGATTTAAATTGAAGATTTCAAAAAACAACTTGACAGAATATCATTTTGTTAGTTTAAATTATTTATGAAAAGTACAAGTAGCCAGACTATGTGAAACAGACCATATTGAATAGTAGCATTCTTTTCTTTAATGTGTAATTGCAATGTGATGAATAGTGATAGGTTTTTTTTTTGAATAAATATCATAAAACGAGAAAGGTCACTGTTTAATTGAATTTTATAGCGGAGAAATTTTTCGCAAAAACTTTGCCGTTGAGGGAAATTTTTTATTTCACTGGCAGATTCTGCACCCCTATGCCTGTCGAAAACAAATTCAAGATTATATAATGCATCGTTATTGAGATATATGCAAAATAGATGATGTTGCAAACATCATAGTACATCACATAGATGTAATGTATTCGGTAGAACAACTTCTGAATGTTTTGAGCTTATTTAGTGCTATAGAAAACTATCGAAAATCATTATACTAAATACATACTTTTGAAAAACTCTCAGTCAGACACTGATTCAGTCAAAAACAATATCTTTGTATCTAAATCAAAAGCTATCGTTGTAAGAATTTGAATATATAATTTTTTTACCAATTTTAAAACGACAACAACATTTACTCTTACATAAAGTTCATAAAAAACAAATCAGTTGTTAATTATGGATTGTTTCGAAAATTTACTTTTCATAATAAAATAGTATCTGATTTTAAATAAACCTCCTCCCACAATAGAGGTCAACCCTATAATAGAAGTCCATCCAGAATAGAAGCCCATCCAGTATAAATTGTTTACAGGAATGAGACAAAAGAATTTGAAAATTTCCTGTACCCTCTCCAGCTTTTCAGAAACAAGTACTTTTTCAAAACCCCGTATTCCTCTGGGGAAAAATTTTGAAAAAAGTTTTTTCTTCATTTCTGCAGATATTTCTATGGTAACGCATACACAATCATTTATGAACCTATCCAAGCAGACGTTGAAAAGCCAACGATGGGTACGACGAGTGGCCGAAACTTGAATATACAATTTTTTTTCTCGTTCTATTCGAATCTCGAGCCCTCGGAAGCATTTTCCCATCGCACATTTATTTTCGACTACTCGAAGAGAGAAAACCTATCGGAAAGATTATTTCGATTATTCGATACGATTCCGATGAGTCGGAGCCCATCGAACTATCGAGTGGTCAGAAAAATTGTCCCATGGTGCATTCATTATCGACTCCTTGGACACTGTTCGACGACTCGTTGCCTATCGAAATTTCGACTACTCGAAGACAGGAAGCCCATAGAAAAGATAGTTTCGATTGTTCGTTTTAACTTTAATTTCTGAAAACGTCTCGGAAATTCAGTTTTCGACTGATATTTTTACTCTTATTACATGATCCACTTGGAGAATTTTGGTTTTCTACGGGTGCTTGCACGTAGTTTGATCATTTAAACAATTTTATTCATCATTTGCAACTAGAATAACGATAGAAATATCTTTACAGTTCTGAGAAAAAAAATAATCATAATGAATTTACTTTCATAACACCTCAAATTTCCTGAGCTTTTGACTAACTCTGATTTTCAATTACTCGTTGACAACGAAAGTCCATGGGATCATTTAAAACTATTGGTTTATTTTTTAGTCCTCGAAGTTACTGAGGTAGTTGAATATTATAAAATTAATAGGGATTGATAAGTCGAGTTTGTCTGATTTTAGTTTCAATATATTTTTTTGTTGATTTTTTTTACATAATCTAATTAATTGTAATGTAATTTATGCTTTAGCATAAATTTTTTTATTTAATGTAATGAAACTGATAACAGATAAAATCGCTTTTATTTAACATCAACACTAGTTATATATATACCATGAGTTGCTGTTTCAAAAAAACTAATTAAATTTATATTTAAAGCACATAGAAAAAATATAAAAGTTAAACATATTTCATGATGACACTTGAATTTATCTAAAATTAAAACGTTATATTTAGTCCATCTGATCTGTGCAAGCTTCGTATTCATAAGTACATGTGTTTGAATCTTCACTTCAGCAAATATATCGGATAGGTATCGAGTGCTAGATAAAAATCAGATGCAGAGAGCGAAATTTTTTTTAAATTCCAGAAAAACGTTCGACTGCTCGGAACATCGACCCCTCGCGATCCATGCGAATCGAGCC